CAAACTGTTTGCACGGGAAGTCTCCCTCTATGACCCGATTCAGCACACACAAGAGAAAACTGTGGGCGACAGACCCAACGTCCTAACGAACTTGAGTTAATTAATGCTAAGGAAGAAAAGAGGCGCCCTCGCTCTGTTGAATCACGGTTCACTAGCCCTTTCAGTTTGCTGTGGGTGGAGGAAAAAAAAAAGAGGCTTTTTGGTTCAAATATTTTTGGGGGGCGAAGAGAAAACAAAAACACCGCAGAAGGTCCATGGAGGGCGAAGCTGTCAGTACCTGCCCGGAGAAGCAGAGGCGAAAGGAAGGAGCCGGGCAAAGGCTGCCGAGCGTCCTCCCCCTCACTGCTGGCCTGAACAGTTCTGGAAAGAAAGAGAGGGTGAAAGAAAAGGGAGGGGATTATCAATGGCTCCTGGGCCTGTTCAAATAAATCCCTCCAAAAATTATACTGTCAGACTATAAGATACATTAAAAAAAAGAAAAGCTCAAACCCAACAACCCGAATTGAACAGAGACATGGAAATGTTTTAACAGTGCAGAAAACCGAAGTATGGATGGCAAGAGTACAAAAAATTTAAGTGTGCAGAAAAAAAAGAAGAGGTGGCAACAGGGGGTGGGGCAGAGAGAACAGCTGCAATTTTGCTTTCCAGATGTTGACAGCAAAATGTAATTGGCAAGTAACTTACTCCTTACCATTTCTTATCCTTTAGTCCTAAGATGTTGAAGTCCTACCTCTCTACCTATCTGTAGGTGGTTTTCAGGTACTCCACACGTGTGGATGGGTCAGGACGCCTTGTGGACCACACGCCTGCTGGCTTTTATATCAGCCCGCTGTTTTTTACAAGCCCTCCCACCATTCCTACCAGGCAGGGCTGAGCAAAGCAAGTGGGATGAAATTTTTATTTAAATTTTTATTATTATTTTGTAATGCATAGGCTTTTCTTTAGCTTTGAGACCGGGACTTCTTTTTTTTTTTTTAAGCAAACTTTTTAACTGAAGCAAGGCATGTATAAAAGTGCACACATTGTATGTTATGCTGCTTGATACACTTTCACAAAGTGAACACACCCATGTAACCCCACCCAGATTAAGAAATAAACATTTTCAGCACCGCTGAATGGCCTTAAATTTTTAAGCTACACAGTTCTCATAATTTATATGGCTTAGAAACACCTCCTGGTTACACCAGTAGCGTTAAACACCTATGTGCATACATGTGTTATAGAGCAAAGTGTGCTATTCATGTGACCACAAAAATATGTGGCAAACAGAAGCCCCTCTCATCCTCACTGCTGCAGAATGCTTATGTGAGTGTGTGTGTGTGTGTGTGTGTGTGTCTTCTCTCTATGCCTGCCCAACTCTGATCCCATCAACAGGGCAACCAACTGTGCAGCGGGTGTAGCAGACTATCAGGGCTTGTATGGGGGGGACAAACAGGACCCACCAAGCTGAAAGCCAAACAGCCTTCGTGTCTGAGGGGAGCAAGGGCCCCTCCTCTCGCCCTGCTTGCCTGGCAGGTGGGGAATGGGGGGCCTCAGTATGTAGGTCATGAGGGAAAGTGATTTCGCAGAGCCAGGGGTTCCCAAAGGGAGAATGGGCACCCATTGGGACACATTGGGACACACTGTCCCCATCCCTGTCCATGAGAGCCCTGCAGGGAAGGGAGGGGAGCAGAATGGCATCAAGAGAAGGGAGCAGAGAGAATAAGCAAGCGGCACTAGACTGGGCCTGGGGTCCTGGGGCGGGGCTGCATTGGGAAGGGAGGCAGAACCCTGCCTCTGCCTACCCCTTCCCTGGCTCCAGCCCCAGCTGGTTCCCCCCTCACTTTCACTAGCACTAAATTTACTTTATAATTTTAAAATTAAATTTTAAAAAAAGCAGGAAAGAGAAAGCACTGAAGGCAAAATACCTCCCACAGTATCTCTCTAAGGAGGAAAAAAAGTTTCTGCTTATGTAAAAAGACGAATGAATACAAGGGATCGCTGAAAAGTCTAAAGACCAAATAACAAGGAAAATAAAAGGGAAACACATTTAATGAAAAATACCTGAAGCACATAAATAAAAAGGTCCCTTGCAACTCAAAGGCACTTCACAGCCGCTGGTGTCTGTGGGCACAAGCCCCTATGCCCATTTCTTGCCCATTTTTCCCATTCCTTTCTCACAGGAAGCTGTTTCTTCCCCCAGGCACTTCAGGATCCCCTTCCTTTCTAAGTGGTCTACCCCACACCTGAGGAAGGGCTACCACAGCCACCTCGCCTACCACCAGCACAGAGTGAACTTCGGCAGCCCTGATAAAAAGTCCTTTCCCCAACTCCCACATCTCTCCCGGCCATGCCCAGCCACTGGCCGTGGACCCTGTTCTTCCTTCCCAAATCCAGGCCCTGTGGCCAGTGGCAAGAGCACTCCTCTGGGGCTGGATGCCAGGCCCAGCCCAAGTGGGCAGCCCTCTCCTCTATCAAGGGTACAGAGTTGCCAAGATGGGCTCTCCAGGACCGAATTTTCTTTTCCTATTGCATGTGGGGCTGGAAAGAAAGAACTGTTTAGTTTAATCTAAAATATGATAAGGGATCTGAGCCCTCTGGGCAGGCTATCTGTAAAAATATTTGATCCTTTTTAGGGGAGAGGATGCAGAGCAGACAGTGAGGCTGCTTCCCCACACCCGGGTTTGACTCTCCCACTAGCCCGCCGCCTGGGAAACGCGCCCTCGGCTGGCATCGGGGTACCAGAGCCCGGCTCCTTTCTTCCTTTCTTTCTTTTTTAAACGGCCCTAGCGCAAACCAGGCAGTGGGTCAGGGCCCAGAGGCGGGGGAGGGAAGAGGAGAGGGCTGTTTCCAGCTCGGGAGAACGGCCGGCCGCAAGTTTCCCGGTTTGTGCCAGTTTGGGGATTTGCGAATCAGACCGGAGCGGAGGGAACGGTGGTTGAGAAAAAAAGCCCGCATTAAAAACTAACCAGCTCTGCCGAAAAGCGCGCTTTCCGCCCTGAAATAAGACAATGCCGAATGGAGAGGAGAGAGGAGAGATGAGTTATTTCTCACTCTTTAATTATTCCAATCCTTAGCATTATTTAAAAAGAAAACCACACACATTAGCCAATGATATATTCTAACCCTCAACAAAGCTGGTATTTTTCTCTGATTACAGACTTTGCCGTGGCAAACCCGGGCTCCGACGACAGAGGCAGCGCAGAAGCTCGCTCCTAAATGAGACAATTTTATTAAAATCATAATAATTCCTTGCATTTCTATAGCGCCTTTTCAGTGGCGGACATCCCAGGTGCCCCACGCCCGGGTCTACTAGAGAATCGGGGCGACCGCAAGCTCAGTCGCGGGGCAGGCGAGGCTCGCCAGCTCCACGAAGCGTCACCGGCATGTATTTTTCTTTTTTTAACAGCTTGTTTCTACCATTCAGCCTCTGTCTCACATGCTTTAAAAAAAAAAGGAATAAAACTCCTTTAAATTAAAAAAAAATGTTTTTAGAGAAGAGCGAAAAGACTTGAAGAGTAAGGGGGGAAAAAGTTAAGTGTGGACTGGAAGCTTGGGGCGGGGATGCTGCTGGGATGGCCCGCGTCTGGGTCCAGGGTGCAAAGCGCAGCAGGGTCAGCGGCTGCCCAGGGTCATCTCCCCCGGCGCAGCTGCAGCGGGCTGAGTCATCCGCACGTGGAAAAGGACCCAACACCATCAAAGCGCATTTAAGTAGTTCGGGTGATGAGAAGTCGGGTTTGTGACCGGCTTCCGAGGGGACTGGACACGTGGAGGGGGGAGGGCTTTCTCTGAATGCCCAGGGGCTGCTCTGGCCCCACGGGGTAGCTACGGGGACTTCAGTCCGACACCAGCTTCCTCCTCCAACAGGTTAAGTCGGGTCCTCTGGGCGCACACGTTCTTTTTCCACTTTTCTATCCTCTCCCCTGGCCTGTCAGGGAAGTGCTGCAAAAGGGCTGGTAGCAATGGGTGGGGAGGCCTTAACGCCCCAAATTCAAGAAATCACCCAAGAGGGAAGGTGGCGAAGATCGAAAGGGACTTGGAGGGCAGGTTTGGGGTTTTTAAGGTTTTTTTAGAGGCTGCGCAACTCCCCGGCCTGAAGGCAGAAGAGATAAAAAGAGAAAGCGCGTTTTCTGCCACCTAGTCACATTTCTTCCCCGCGCTCGCTGGAGGCCAAACGCCCCCAAACCCAGCCAACCCTGGAAACAAACAAAAATCTCCCCTGGTAAATTTCCCCACCTTTACTCCCCAAAAAGACAAGGCTCAGGGATTGAAGGGGAGGCTCCTTGGAGACCAGGGCTCTAGAGATGGCGACGCTCTCCATGAGACGCGGAGGAGAGACCCTCCCCGAATAGACGCCCCCAAGCTGCCCTCGGATTTGGGGGCGGTTAAACCCCAAACTCTCCCAAGGAGCCAAAGAATCGCGACAATCATCAACATCCCATTCATAGCCAAAGCCCTCGAACGCGCATTATCCTCCGTCGGATGTCAGGATGGGCGCAGGAGTAGAGAAACTGAGGCACAGGCGGCCGTGAACCCCCAACCCCCGCGTGCCTGGGGGACAAAACCAGGCTTAAGGCAAAAATGCCGATATCTGAGCCCCTTTTGGCAGCGACCTTTGACGCTGGGAATGGTGAACGGGACAGTCCTCCAAGCCCACCAGCGCGGGGTCACTTTTTGGGGGGTAGGTAGGGGGTCACTGTGAGGGGCAGGCCGCGCCCGACGACTGGGAGCCGCGCCTGCGCAGTGAGGGGCCTGGAGGACGCCACTGGGACGCACTAGAGGGCCTACGGTGGCTGGGGGAGATCACTGAGGAGTCTGGCGGCGCAAACGGTTGAAAGCCTGACCTACACTCCCAGTTTCCCCTCACCTGCACGCGGGGTCCGCGGTTCGCACTCTCCACTCAGCACCCAAGGCGGCTCCGTCGTCGGAGCCACCCTGGTACGTGCCACAGGGCGCGTGTCACATCCGGGGCTTCCAAGCGCCGCTTCCCGCCTTTTCGTCGTCGCGCACGCGCACGCGCACGCCTGACTGCGCACGACCCGCTCGTGGCCCGCGGCCCCTTCGCGCCCCGGGACTGGGCCTTCTGCACGGCCTAGGCATGTGCTGTCCTCATCCACCCCGCAGTATGCGGTGCAACTGACGGTGACCATCAGCACCCATTTTCCCCACGACGTGGAAAGCCCGTGATCTTCTCTTCTCCTGCCTGGGACCTGTGGAGGCCTCCCCACCACCTCTACCTCCATGATCCCCCAACCCCAGTCTCGAGTCAGTTGCAGCGGGTCCAGGAAATGCCACGTGCCTTGAGAACCTCCCCGGAGGCCACAATGAAAGCCCGTGGGCAACGGGCACCTGTCGAGGGGCACACTTGTCGAGGGAGCTGTCTCGCTTAGGGTACGTACAGGCACGTGACCTAATGCACAAAGGCAGTGGGGAGGGGGTGTTCGTGTCAACATGGGGTGCAGCCCAGCTTCTCTCTTCCGGGGACCCGGAGGAGACGCTAGAGGACCATCTAACTGTCTCCAGCGGAGCTGGGGCATCGAAGAGCTATGACTGGGCAGTGGAGCGTCTGGAGAGTCCCAGCACAACCCCCTACCTCCACTCCCACCCCTCCAAAACCGGGAGTCCTCCATGCCCACCAGCGGCTTTCTCTGAATGACCGGCTCACTCCTGAAGTCCATGGTGCGCGCAGGGAACTCGTCTCCACCGCCAGTGCGGACCTGGAGCGAAGGCTTGGAGTGCGCGTAGCGTGCGGTCGGTGCTGGAGTCGGTGGGGGGGGGGGAGTGGAAATTTCTCCCGAGGTGGGGTTGGGGGGGGCATTAAATGGCCTCTTTGTGGCAAACTGCAGGCCGTCACTCAGGATTAATTTAAGCGGTAACAGCAAACACACACCAAAAAGCAACGTCTCGCCGCCAGCACCCACCCCCGCGATTGTGTTTCTGGGACTGCCGGGATCCAGCGCTGCAGTCCGGCCCTTGGGGGAGGTGGGTCCCGGTCTTTAAGAACGTGGGACAACCGCAGTGGAGAGGGGGAGGGCTGCTCCCGCCTCCCCCCCCCCCCCCCCCCCCCACCGTATCCCTGCCTGGCGAAATGGTTTTTGCAGGTTTGGGTCGAAGCCTAGTGGGGGTGGTAAAATCCAAGTACAAACGTGGAGCGCCAAGAGGGGGGAGCGGTTCTTACATATAAAAAGTATATATAAAGGTACAAATTTCAAATATAAATATAGCACATGCAGGGGCGCCACTGGGCAGCGGCAGTTCTGGGATGTCTCACCTGTGCCCCCAGGGACGTATGGGTAGGCGGCTGTTCCGAGAGGGATGGGGGAGGGTGGAGAAGTGGGAATTAGGCCTCCCTTCCCTGCTGGCTCCCCCAACAACCTGAATGCCGCTTTGAAGCCAGATGCCCTGGGTGGCCCGGCAGGTGTGTGACTCATGTGAAACACGCGTGTGCAGGCTGGGGAAGTGTGTACCTGCGTGGGCCTGGAGCCACGTGTGTGGGTACTGGAGCGGGCTCACGGACCCACTTAGCAACCCCCATGGGGGCTGGGGCGCGAGTACCTGTGCTCGGAAGCCCCATCTGAGGGAAAGCAGGGGAGTGAATGCTTGTGTTTGGGACCACCATGTGGTGCCTGACAGGGACGTGTTTATGGGTGTGAGTGCACCAGCCAGGGTCATTGGGTCAGGCCTGGGTACGTATTTAAGCTTTCGGTGCCTGATATCTTGATGGGGGCTCCGGGCAAGGGCGTGCTCCGGACCCAGGTGGGAGCGACTGTATGGGATCGTGCTTATGTGCCTGAGCAGTCCGAGTGCCGGGCTGGGGTGTCGGACAGGGGCATGCGTTTTGCGCGCCTAGGTCCCCTTCTGAGCCTCAGGGCAGGGGGTGTGTGAGTGCTTGGGCGCACCTTGGGAGTGGCCACGTGCGCCGGGGCCGCTGTCTGGACCCAGCCGAGCCCGGATCTGGCCCCTGAGCGGGCCATGGGGCAGGGCCAGCCGCCCGGCAGGCCAAGGCGGGATGTCGTTGGAGCCCTGTTGGTTTTGGCCAAGGCAACTCCAATGGGGGAAGCCCCAGGAGCAGGCGGGGGAGAAACAAAGAAGAGGAAAGCAAGGGAAAAGCGGGTTGCAGAGGAGGAAGCACCCTGTACCCCCAAGGGCCCCAGGGGCGGTGGAGGCTGGGGTCTGCCTGGGCCAGGGGGCTCCTGGAGGCCCCTGGGCCCAAGATGGCCACTCCACCTGTGTGGACAGGGCCAGGCTGTTGGTTTGAAGTCCTGAGACTTCTCTTCTCTGCCTTTGAAGACCCCCAGCCCCATTCTACCCACCAAATCCCCCAAAGGACCACAGGCTGCCATCACTGCAGACTACCTCCAGCCGCCACATGGCCACTCACACACTCAAGCCTAGTGCCACTGTACTTGTGGTTGCCCATCTGATAGCCCCCACACTGCCCAGCAGTTTTTCATTGCCCACCAGTACCCCACTTGGAGCCAAGTGACATTGATGGGGAGAGCATGGCCCAATTTTCCCAGCCAAGGACAGACGATTTGAACACCCTTAAGCAGGGAACCAGGAGGCCTCTTCCTCCTGTTTCTTGCTCTGGGCTTCTTAGAACCGGGGAATAGGAAGGGAATTTCCTTGGGAAGGCCAGAAGGTGGAGCCTCAGGTGGCCAGAAGGGGGTTGAAAAGCTGGAGTGAACCTGTTTAAGTCTTGCTCACTCCTGGGAATCTGGCTGGGTAATCCCTGCCACCCAGCTTCTAGACCCATGACCTTGGCACTTGACCTTGCTGCCTCTGTTTCCTCATCTGTAAAACAGGTTACTCATACCTGCATCGTATTGGGAGGGTCACAGGAGGTCATGTATGCCCGCCTCCCCCCCAACCCACTGCCCAGGCATAATTGCTCTGCAGTCGGTAGCTGTTATTTTTATTGTGAGGAATCTATGGCTGTGACAAGCTGTGATGCTTGGTGTGATCGCGTGAGGCTGGCTGTGTGTGCGACTGTGCCGCTGTGTGTGTGTGTGCGTGTGTGACAGGTTGTGTGTGAGACTGTGCGTGGACGACAGATTGTGCCGGTGTGCGGCGGTGCTTGTGACAGGCTGTCACTGCGCGACAGACTGCGGGTGGCGGGGTGTTGCGGGCGTTGACTGTGAGTGGGGATGAGGCAGTGTGTGGGACTGGGACTGGGGGACCCCCGCAAATCTATCTCGCTAAGGACCTGGCTAGTGAGGGTGAGGAGGCTCTCTGGAACTGCAGGAGGAACTCACTCCAGTTTCCCCTTGGGCCTTGGCTTTTCCATTGCATTCAGTGGGGTTCCACCTGTTTGTAAACCTTGGAGGTGACAGGTCTCAGAGGACCCTGTGACAGAGCTTCTCCTTCACCTACTGCGTCAACTTAAGTGCCCAACTTCCAGCTTCTTGCTGGGGCTTGGGGGGTGTCAGGGGGTTCAGAGGGTGGACGGCCACAGGCCTGGCTGGCTTCACTGAGGGATGCATACCCTGTGCCTGTTTCCCGTGTTTTTCCTCAGCTCCAGGCCTGGGCAGGGCCAGCGGAGACCTGGAGAAGGAAGAAGAGGTTTTGGGGAAAGATCAAGAAAAGCTAGGGGAGAAAGGAACAAAATGAGGAAATCAGAGAGACGGAAGATCAGAGCGAGCAGGTAACATCAGCGTGGGCGCCTCCCAGGAGAACCCCGAAGAACCCCGAGCTGCTGGTCAGGGCCACCAATCAGGGTGAAAACATCTCATGTTTATGGGCCAGGACTGGCAGAAATGCCTGCCGACACTGGAGCACTGCTTGTGTACCAGGCCCTGTGCTCAGAGCCCACTTGTAGGGACTCAGCTCTAGGGATGCAACCCTGCCAGGGGAATGAAAACACCAGGCTTGGCTGAAAAGCATCTGGTATGCTCATCACCACCCAAGCCCATAGTGTCCCTTTTTGGATGGAGAAACTGAGGCTGGGGGCCTCATCCAAGCTCCCCCTGAAGCCCTGGAGTCATGAGAATGCAGGACTCCAAAAACTGGAGCGGTGCGTTTTTCCCAGCGTGGCCAAACCCCACCGGCTGGAAGCATCCCAGGACTCTGTGGGCTGAGGAAAGTGCCATGTCACCCCTCCTGCCTCCTTAGTATGTCAGCGTGTGTGTTTGTTGCATGTGTTATGTGTGTCATGCTCGAGGGCTGTCCTGCAGCTGTCCCTGGTGTACAGGCCACAGGATGATGTGTGTGCATCTCTCAGTAGGCAAGGCCTGTGTGTGTCTGCTCAGTGTGTCTGTGTGTGTGTCTGTGTGTCCGTTCAGGGCCAGCCCCTGCCAAAGAGAGGGGAGCAGCATTGGAGCACCCCAACCCCCCCCCCCGAAAGTGTGTCTTTGATACTTGCAGCCTCGGCAGCGAAAAACAAGTTTCCACAGGGCCGCCTTGGGTTGGGGCCAGGCCGTCCTCAAATAACATTTGAAGTTACTTAGCAAACTTTGTTTAGTGCCGAGAGAGGCGCGGGCAGCGGGTGGGGGGTGGGGGGAGGGCAATAAACCGGTTCCTCCGAAGTCCCTTGTCCCATCTGGGGGCACAAGTGCCCAAGGTGAGGCTCACTTCCCTCATCCCAGCTCTGGGGAGTGGAAGCAGGAATCTTGGAACCTTGGGGAGAAATTAGGGAAGGAGAGAGGTCAGGGCACCCCACAGATGAAGCCTTGCCCTTGCCCTGCCAGGGCCTGGGCTTGGGCAGAGATGCCCACCCTAGCCTCCTGGTGGCCCAGATGCCAACACCAGGTACGGGGCAATCAGAAATGGGAGGGGCCCCACTTTTGCTGCAGTCCTGCTCTGCCAACCTTGAGGCTAAATGAAGGGGTAGATGGAGCGAGCTTAGAACATGGGTCACCCCAACCCCAGATACGCACAAGCGCTCAGAAACCCCCTGATGTCCACATGCCCAACCCCCACCCCCAAATCCCCATTTCCAGGTCCCAGCCCTGGGCAGCAGAGAGGGCCCGAGAGCCAGCGATGGCGGCGGATTTGGAAGTGAGGTTGGCGCCTATGGGAGGGGGAGGGGGGAAGAGATGCCAAAAATGGTGAGCCATTACAGGCGAGCAGGCGAGAGAGGGAGGAAGGGAGGGAGCAAGCAGGGAAGATGGAAGCCAGGCGGGCATCCTCGCCTAGCTGCAAAGGGGCAGCGGAAGAGGCAGCCCAGCCCTTCCAGGGAACAGGCATGGGGGATGATCCCCAGGTGGCACGGGACAGGCAGGGGCCTGGAGGCGCCCAGCACTTCCCCACCCCCACCTCAAGCTTCGAAATGGAGACTGGCAGCAGCAGCCGCTCGGCTCTGCCCGGGCATGGGGTGGGGGTGGCAGGCAGGCAGGGCGCCAAACCAAATGCCACCAGGCTGGGCACGGTGGTTGCCAGCCTGCAGTGCCGACCCCGCCGGGCCCCAGCCCAGAGCTCTCGAGCCCAGAGCTTTGGGGGTGGAGAGAGTCTGGGGCCCCGGTGGAAGTTGAGGGACTCAACAGGCAAAGCCAGATACCCCCAAGAGGAGGGAAGATCCCTAAGACCCTGCAAAGATGGCGCAGCCTGGTACTGCCAGGGTGACAGGCTGGGGTAAAAATAAACCCGGCCCGCCCCGGGGGAGCTAAATTGAGGGGCCCAGGTGGAAGTGCCACTCTGGGCCACCAGCTGCCCCCGCCCCGTCCCCCAGCTCAGAGCAGCAGAGCTGCGCATACCCGGTGCCCATCAAGCCCCAGTTTCTGTACAGGAAAGGCCTCGGCCATCTTGTCCCCAGATCTTGGGTGGGCACAATATAGCGTTTCCACAAATATCGATAATAGACGACCTCAGATTGAAGAAAAGACAGGCAACACGGTCTGGGCAAATGGTGGGCATGCCATGCTGAGCCACCCACCCCAACCTCCAGTCTGCCCCTTGGAGAGAGAAAAGGGCCCGGCGGGCGGTACTTGAACTGCAGCAGGGCAACGTTCAAAATCAGCACCTCACCATGAGGCCTCCCCGCCCATCTCTGCTAGAAGCACAACTGCCCAGCACTCCTGAGGGCCCGGCCAGCTCTGTTCTCCCCACAGCACCGAGCACTGTCTCAAGGACTGGACACTCCCTTGCTTATCAGGTTCACGGTCTGCCCTCCCACCGGGGCTGGCATCTTTGCAGATTTTGCTCCCTGCCCAACACCCGGGGCCTAAAACAGAGCATGGCACCCAGGAGGTGCTTGGTAAATATTTGTGGAAGGAATGCACAGGCCCCCGGCTGCACCCCCAGCATGTGGGCTCCAGCTAGGTGCCCATCAACATGTGGGAAAGGATGTTTGGCCCTTCGGGGGTGAGGGCAAGCCTGGCCAGCAGGAGTGTAAAGGGGGTGAGACCACCATCCACCTTTATTCTGAGCCCCGGTTGGAAGAAGATCTGAAGGTCAGAGTGGTAAGGAAGGTTCAAGGGCCAGGCCAACTTCTGGGGCATACTTCAAATGGGGGTGTGAGGGCATGCAGGCCCATTCTGAAATTTGGGGAAGGCCAGAGAACAAGCTGTAATTCTGTCCCATCGGCAGGATTGAGGGTGGTGACGATCTTGGAGAAGGAGCTCCCCCACTCTTGACCCTGGCACTAGATATCTCTACTCTGAGTCTCAGTTTTTCATCATAAAATCAGAACAGTTATTTCACATGAAGGACAGTTTTAAAGCATGTGCTGTGAACCAATTTCTCAGATCCTTACCATAACCCTGCTTCCTAGATACAGAAATTGAAACCCAGAGAGGTTAAGCACCTTGCCTGAAGTCACACAGCTAGTGAGTGGCAGAGCCAGGAGTCAAACCCAGGAAGCTGGCTCTGCAGGCGCCACGCTCCTCATAACAGTACCTCTGAACGCAGAATTCAAGAAGACAAGCTGGGAAGGCACTTAGCAAGGGCACAACGCAGCAAGCACACAGTTCACATTAGCTGTTGCTATGATTTTTAGGACAAACATTTATTTTGCTATTATCCTATTTTCTTTTATCATTCTGCCAACTGCTGTCTCTTCTGTCTTTCTCTGGGGTCAGAACTGAGGAGTCAAAGGCCAAAGGATTACGGAGACAGCCCCATGGAGGACGGGAGTCTCAGAATTGAGCTTTGTCGGCTGGGCTCAGTGGCTCACGCTTGTAATCCCAGCACTCTGGGAGGCCGACAAGGACAGATCACTTGAGGCCAGGACTTTGAGACCAGCCTGACCAACATGGAGAAACCCCATCTCTACTCAAAATACAAAAATTAGCCAAGCGTGGTAGCGCATGTCTGTAATTCTAGCTACTCGGGAGGCTGAGGCACAAGAATTGCTTGAACCCAGGAGGCGGAGGTTGCAGTGAGCCAAGATTGCACCACTGTACTCCAGCCTGGATGACAGAATGAGACCCTGTCTCTAAAAAAAAAAAAAAAAGGCCGGGCACGGTGGCTCATGCCGGTAGTCTCAGCACTGGAGGCTGAGGCAGACAGATTCTCCTGAGGTCAGGAGTTCAAGATCAGCCTGACCAACATGAACAAACCCTGTCTCTACTAAAAAGACAAAATCAGCCAGGTATGGTGGTACATGTCTGTAATGCCAGCTACTCGGGAGTCTGAGGCAGGAGAATTGCTTGAACCTGGTAGGTGGTGTGAGATTGCACCATTGCACTCCAGCCTGGGCAACAAGAGTGAAACTCTGTCTCAAAAAAAAAAAAAAAAAAAAAAGAACTTAGCTTTGTCCCCATCCCTTCTCTTGGTGGCTGCCAAGAGCAAGGAGGTGAGGGTGGAGGCCTCAGCCACTGAGTCTAGAAGATTCTGGGTGTCCTGGGCAGGGGTGGGCATGTGGCTATCCAGGCTTGGTCTCGCCCCAGCCTTCTACAAACCATGGCAGGGATTTGGGGCTCCCAATTCTATCCGGAGAAGTCAGGGTGGCCGTAGCTGCTGCACAAAGACAGCTGATTGTGGATGACAAGCAGAGGGGAGGTGCCACTCTGGGCAGGTCTCATCTCTCAGGCGCCATTTCCAACCACTGCCAGGTGTGGCCCAGGTGCGAATTCGTGTGGAGGGGTGACTCTTGTCCCCAGGTGCTGGGGTAACACCGGACTTATACATGCCACACCAGCTGTGCCGGGGTTTGGTGGGGGAAAGGGGTATATATGTGACAATGCCTGGGTCCTGGTGAGGGAGAGTGTGTGCGTATGTGTGACACTGTGTCAGCTGGCTTCTTGTTTGGGTGTGACTGTGTATGGGGGTGCATGTGTAATGGGTGTCAAGGGTAAGCTGTGCCTGTGTGTGTTATTGTGTGTCTGGGGATGCATGGCAAGGTTTCCCCAGAAACCTTGGCACTACTGACATTTGGGGCCAGATCATTCTTTGTGATCGGTGGGGTTTGTGGGGGATGCATTGCAGGGGATCGAGCAGTGTTCCGGGTCTCCACTCAGTAAATGCCAATGGCACACCCTCCACAAATGTGACACCAAAAATGATTACAGGCGGGACATGGTGGCTCGTGGCTGTAATCCTGGCACCTTGAGAGGCTGAGGCCAGAGGATCACCTGAGCCCAGGAGTTCAAGACCAGCCTGGGCAACATAATAAGACTCTGTCTCTACAAAAAAAATTAAAAATTAGCCAGGCGTGGTGGCATGCACCTGTCGTCCCTGCTACTCAGGAGGCTGAGATGGGTAGATGGCTTAAGCTTAGGAGGTCAAGGGCTGCAGTGAACCGAGATCGCACCACTGTGCTCCAGCCTGGGCTACAAGTGAGAGTCTGTCTCTAAAAAAAAACGTTTCCAGACATTTCCCAATTGGCAAAATCACTCCTGGTGACACCGGGTTAGGGAGTGTGTGGGGTGTTTGTGTGTCTGAGAGCGTGTTATGCATGTGCACGTTCCTGAGTGTTTGGTGGTGTGTATGCGGGTGTATTAGTTCTCGTGTGTGTCTTTCAGGCACCTGACATTATGACTGAGTGCATGTTCTGTGTGTTTCTAGCTGTGCCTGTGGGTCTGAGCGTTTGTGAGCATTTGACAGTGGCAAAGCCTGTGTCTGTGCTGTGTGCTTCACAGCACATGTGATCGTATGACTGCGCGTGTCCCATGTATCTGCACCCACGTGCACGTCCCTGCGCGTGTAATGCTGCATCGATGTGTTTGGGTGTGGCCAGGTGCCTGTAGGTGTCTGTCAGTAAGGGCAAGCTTCTTTGTATGGGGACGCCTGTGTCTGTCTGATTGAGGGAGGTACAGCATGCCAGTGTGTGGCAGCATGATTCTTTGTGCCCGCATGTGCCAGTGAGAGTGTATGACTTTGAGATGGACCCGGAATAAAAAACCCCCCCACTCCCCGAGATGATTTGACCGAAGCTGATATTTGGACGGAACCACCTGGATAATTTGGCCCCCATCCCTAGCTCCTGCCTGCCGTGGACTAAAAGGCCCAGGGGGGTCGGGTGTACCTCCACACCATCCCTTCCTCCAGCCTGGCTCACAAAGATTCAGGTGGGGACAGACAGATCCCTGCTTTTGCCCAATCTGTGCCAGGAAGGTTGGCACTGAGCTTCAGCTGAGGGGGCAGGGTCCTCAGTGATGGTGATGGGCACTGCCCCCTGCCCACTGCTGGCCACCACCCCCGGCTCCCCTCAGGGTGGGGCCCAGTGGGGGGAGAGCTCCCCAGTGCAACCCTGGCTTCCGATTGGCTACAGAGCGCCGCAGTGCCCGCTACCCGCCTCCCCTCCCTGGCTGGCGCAGCCACATCGGTAGTGGTGGCAAACGCAACTTGGAGTTCTGGGCACAGCTGCGCCTCACAGAGGCCTGCCAGCCCCACCAGAAGCCAGACACCCCAGCTCCATGCCCCCGACCCCTCCCTGCCCACCCGCCCCACCGGGCAGCTCAGTCACCCTGCCCGTTGCCTCCCTCTGGCTGCCAGGCCCTGTTCACCCTGCTCCCTCACCCACCAGGCCTGTGCCCCCCTGGCCAAGCCCACTCAGGGGGCCCAGGCCCCTGCACAAGGCCACTCCCGCCCTCAGAGGGGCTCCTCAGGAGGGGGGAGGCAGTGAGGAAGGGGGGGGTTGGGGAGCTAGCCCTTCTTCCTTTAGTGAACGCGCCCAGAGCTGGAGCCAAAAATCGAGGAGGAGAGATATTCAGACGGAGCCAAGACGCGTTTGGCAGGAGGAGAGAGAGAGGGAGAGAGGGAGCGGGAGGAGGGGAGGAGGGGAGGAAAGAGGGAGGAAAGAGAGAGAGAAAGGGGGAAAGAAGGGGGGACCTCAGTTTCCAAATCCGCGCCCTCAGAGCCTCGGAGGGATGGCAGGTGGCCCAAGGGTGTGGAACCCTTGACCCACCTGGCTGTGGGGGCAGCGGGGATGGTGGGCTCAGGCCCACGGAGACAGCCGGACACCCAGCTGGCCAGCTAGAACGGACACAGGCAGAAGCCAAGATCAATGTGCGCTGGGCAGACAGAGGGAGGCCTGTGGGCGGCCCGAACACACACCCGCACCTCGCCACCGCACAACGGGCTTCTGTCCACGCCAGGCCAGGGGCACGGGCGGGGCCGCAGCAAGGCCACCGTGGCCGCGAGACCTCATGGGAAGGGACTGAGCTGCCAGCCCACTCCCAGCCACTCACCCAGCCGGCCATATCAGGCATCTCATACAGTGCTCAGAGGCCAAGGGAATGCCCGGGAGAGGGGCCCATGGGGTGAGACCCACAGTGATCATCATGGTGACAGGCCCAGGAGGCACAGTAATCTGAGGGTGGTGACACCAGAGACACGTGTGTTGACACATATGTGGACACAGGTTGACACGGACAGGCCAACACGTGTGTGAGACACACGAATACACTCTTTGCCGTGACGCACAGACACCCAGAAAAACACTGCTGTAGATGTGACGCATGTCGCCGGGACACTGTCACCCCAGATACAAAGCACAGATACAAAGATGGCGACCAGCACACGGATACCCGTTGACGCGCACATCCCCACCGTGACACAAAAACGACATCCAGCATGCCGACATGCATGGTGGCACGCTCCCCGACCCCCGCCACCAAATACACAAGAGACAGGGTGTGCAGTGATCCATGGAGTCACATGCAGGTAGCACCCAGTGATGGACACTTGGAGATCTGGAGCCGCATGAGGAGGGACTGGGGCAGACACACAGACATCCAAGGGAAAATGGTGGCTCTGAGGCCTGATATGCCGATTAACAGGCACGCTGCTCTGGCAGACCCCAGATAGTTGCACACAGCTGTCCCCGTGGCCCACTCGCCCTCACATATAGGGCTTTGGGGGCAGGAAAATGAAGACATCCCCCTCCTTTCCCCCACCCCAGCTGGGAGGGAGGAGACAAAAGGCCCATCCTTAGCACCGTGTTGGAGAAAGTGCCCAGCCTCCCCTATCTCTCTTGGTCCAGCAAGTCCCCAGATTCCAGCTTCATGGGGGTGGGGGAAACAATACCTGAGCAGATGAAAAACGGTTAGATGGGGAGGCCAGCCCTCCCTGTGCTGGCCCTCCCCGTGGGTTAGATGGGGAGGTCAGTGGACCACGGGGGCATTTCGCCCACAGCCATGGTGCCACGGCCAAACGCCCAGCATTGCTCCCACCCACAATGCACCCTGATCCAGCCAAGTGCCCACATAGGGTCCCACACACTTGCCCTGTCTTCACGGCGGGTCCAGGTTATAACGCCCAGGTGCAGACGCAGAAATAGTCCTGGAGCTTTGGGGACGTCCCTGAAGTCATCATCTATATGCACCAGGTCTCTCTGTCTCATGTACATTTGGATGAACACGCACTTTTTTGGGGGGACGGTCTTGCTCTGCCACCCAGGCTGGAGTGCAGTGGTGCTATCTCAGCTCACGGCAACCTCCACCTCCAGAGTTCAAGTGACTCTCTGGCCTCAGCCTCTGTGTAGCTGGGATTAAAGACTCGCGCCACCACACCTGGCTAATTTTTGTATTTTTAGTAGCAACGGGGTTTCACCATGTTGGTCAGGCTGTTCTCGAACTCCTGACCTCATGATCCACCTGCCTCAGCCTCCCAAAGTGCTGGGATTACAGGCATGAGCCACTGCACCCGGCCCACACATGTACTCTTATACCAGGACTCGGGTCCCCCAAAGAGGGCATCTGGTCCTCAGGGAACAGAACAGGCCTGGGTTCTCCCCTCCTGCCCCTACCCTCCCCCACCATCTCTTCCCTATCTTGAAGCCCTGCCACCCTCTGCTTAGCCTATAGGCCCCCATCCAAAGGTAAAAGAGCTGGGCCATGAGCAAGCACCCATCCTTCAAAACTCTCCTCCTGCCTCCTCCTCCTCCAGGCAGTCCCCTTGGATATGTATGGTTAGGAGGCGCTCAACCCTGTCTTTTACCCCTTAGAGGCATCCCTCTCCCAGCAGGGAGGGTCCAGGAGGTTACAACCAACAATTGGCAACAATTCCCATTTCTGGAGCACACACTATGTGCCAGGCACCACGCTGAGCCCACGTACAGCCCAAGATATAGACACTGGTTTTGCCTATTTTACAGGCCAGGAAAATCCTGTGCTTTAGGTCGCAAGATTAGAAGATGCGGAGCTGGAGCTTGAAGCGGTTGCTGTCTGACCACAAAGCCTAGCCCTTGACCTCTACTCCCGCAGCCTCCGTCTGGAAGCTCTTGAGGCTACACAAGACATTCCAGGCCCTAGGGAGACTGGAGCACCCCATTCCCTGCAGAATCCTCTGCCTCGAGCTCAGCCCAACATCCAAACATCTCAGGAAGCCCCTGCTCATCTCATGAGCTAGCCCATCCCAGCCCACACCTGGGCACACCTCCCACCCCAGCAATGGGCATGAATCGGCAGGGCCAGGGCCAGAGAAAAAATGCCAAGTGCCATGGAAACAGGGCACCAGGCTGGAGCAGGGACAGAGAGCGATAGCTTCACAGCGACAAAGCGGTGGCCACAGTGACCCAGAGAGAAAGCTGGGGGAAGGGGGCATCAGGGAGGCCCCAACCATCCCCCTCCCATGGAAAGAGTGTGCGGGGAGCTGTCCAGACACAAAAATACAGGAACATTCATTGCTTGTGTGGCTAGGAATACGGGCGGAGGTCGCTGCGTGTCTGACAGCGGGTGTATCCGTGTGTGCGCCCATGTATGTCTTTGTGTGTGTCAGCAAATGTCGGCATGTTTGCATGTGTATCCCTGTGGCAAGGAGGGGGAAGCACACATCGGTGCCTATCTCCGTGTGCGTGTGTTTGAAAAGGTATTTTGTGTACACACCTGGGTGAGCCAATTGCATTGTGTCTCTGTGTGAAAATGTGAATCCATCCATCCGTCTGTCTGTCCTTGAGTCCATGCAAGTGTGTGTGAGGGTGAACACACATTTGCGTCTGCCTGTATCCAAGCGTGTGCTGAGGGCTCCATGAGTCTGGGAGGTGTCGCGGTTTCCATGCGCCTACATCGCTGTGTCATCTTGAGGGGTTTGTGTTTATGTGTGCACTGGGGGTAGTTGTGAACACAAGTCCACGGTCTCCTGTGTCCATACACGTGTTAAAGCGGCACTGCTGTGTCTCTAAGCCTATGCCAACACACATGTCCCGTTTCAAGGGGTGCATGTGTGTTAATGTGTATGTGTGTGACAGTGTGGACACAAGTCCCTGGTTTCCTTCGTCCGTAGGCCTGTAGGTTTGTCGACGGTCATGTGTCTGGACATTGGTGTGAACAGGACGCTTACGTCCCCATCTTGGCAGTGACGGTGGTGTACATGAGTCCACAGCCTGGTTGTGTCTCTGTTTCTTGGTGGGGTCGGGGTGGGGAGGGGGTCCATCCATTCACCCCCCCCACCCCTGTCTCCACCTGAGACTCAGGCCTGTGGCTGCAATGGACCCCAGCAGCTCCAGCAACCGCCCCGCCCGGCCGTCCTGGATTTCTATGCTTTTTCTAGAAGGAGATTTTCCCCCCGCCCTTCCCCCTCGCCCACAGTACCTTTCCCCGCCAGGGCCCCGCTGCTCCAAGCTCGTTCCTGCTCAATCATTTATTGACTTTAAAATCGAAGCCAATTCTGGTTTGAAAAAAAGAAAAGGGAGAGAGAGAGGGAAAGGGAAAGAGAGAGAGGCAGGCCAGAGAGACAGAGAGAGTCCGAGACGCCAGTGGAGGGGGGAGCAGAGATGGGGCCAAAACTGGAGTCAGAGACAGAGACAGAGACAGTCAGAGATATACAAAAGGACAGAGATGGAGAAAGAGAGATGGAAAAGGGCAGAGTTTGCCAGAGACCAAGAAAAACAGACCAAGAAAAAGACAGCAAACGAAAGAGGTTGTCAGAAAAACAGAGACCAGCAGGGCAAACTATGGAAGCAGAAAGATTTGTGAAAACAAGAGATGTGGTTGTCAGGGAGGGGCAGGCCAGACTCTG